TATAGGTATAAATATTACTATTAATTTTTTTTTATTATATGTATATAACTTTTTTTAATAAGATTAATAATATTTATTTATATTTTTAGAATTTTAGAATTTTTTTTTTTATAATTGTTATAATTATTTTAATTAAAATAATTGTTTTTATGTTTTTAATAAATCAGTTAAATTTTAATGCATAATAATTTTTTAAATTGCATATATTTAATTAAATTTAAAGAGATTATTAAAAATATTATTTTTAATTGAATTTTATATCTTAATTTTATATGTTTTTTTTAATTTATACACAAAAATAATGATATATATTATTCAAAATGTTTCCTTTTTTTTAATTATTATAGTTTTATACATATAATTAAAATATTTATTATTTTTAATAATAAAAAAATAATAAATATTTATTATTTATTTCCCTTTTATTTTTTGTAATCAATTAAATAAATTTCTGGATAAATGATTACTTTATAGTGACGCGAAAATTGGGTAAATATAATATATTAATAATAAAAAATTATGTTTTATTTATGCAACACCTAATTCATGGTTTAATTCTTTTAAATAATGCGCAATATTGATTTTGTTTTTATAAATTTATAGAGAAACAATGATGTATGATTTATTTAAAATAATGTTAAATTCTATAGAAACTAAATTAAGGACTTTGTAAAAAAGTAGAAATTATTATATATTTATTAAAATGTTTTTAATATTTACTTGCTTATACAAATATATATATAAAAATAATTAAAATTAATTAATAATATAAATAAATAATATGAATTCTAAAGAAGTTTAAAAAAATAATTAATATTATAAGAAAATAAATGTAAAAAATTTTATATTAAAATTATTAAGATGTATAATGATAGTAAATATATATATATATATATATATATATATTTATATTATAAATATAAATAATTACAATTTAAAAATTTAAATATATATAATGATAATAAATAAAAATAAAAATAAAAATAAATATAAAATATATAATATATTTTTAAATTTTGTATTCATTTTTAAAATATATAAAAAAAATATATTTATTAATATTAAAAAAAATAAAATAAATATAGATAAACAAACTTAATAATATTAATAATAATAATTATAATAATAATAATAATAATAATATTAATATTAATATTAATATTAATATTAATATTAATATTAATATTAATAAATTTATTATGAAATTTTCAAAATATAATAATATTTAATATATTATATATTATAATAATATTTTAATTAATTTTATTAAATGCAAACTTTTAAATAATTTAATTAAAAACTAAAATATTATTAATAGTTTAAATTTATAAAAATAATAATATTTAATGAGTTATTACAATATATATATATTATATTTTAAATTAATAATTTTATATTCTCTATAAATATATAATAATTTAATTTTATAATCTTTTATTTACTTTTATATAATATTTTTTAAAAAAATATAATTTTTAATGTTAGTTTTAGTTTTATTTAATTTTTAATATTTTAATTTATAAAATATTTTTTTTTTTACTATTTTTTCTATAAAATTAATACTTATTTATAATTTTTCATTAAATTTTTAATTACTTAAAAAAATAAAAGTAAAAAATTTAATATTCATATCATGAAATTCATCTAATGCAAAGAATTAAATATAAACAACTAAAATTACTGAATTTTATATTGTATTTAAGTATACAGTTTTATTATCTAATTTTTATCCTGAATAATAAAAAAACAATTTCTTAACATATTTCATATTAAAGTAATTTTATAAATTCCCTAAGTTTATCTATATCCAGTATTTTCACTTTTTTATTCTCTTAAAGAAATAGCATATTGTTTTTTTAGTCGAATTTTATTAATATATTTATTAAATTAGTTATAATCACAGTGTAACTTTTAATTTTATAATCAACATAATAATTATCTTTGTATTTATTGTAACTCTTTTTTATTAAATTATTAACAATGTCCTTTGCAAAAAACTAGCATTACAGCATTCATCTACACAACTAACCTTTATGTTTACAAAATTTACTTCCATTGAAAATAAAACATAAGGCTATATTGTTAGGTTTACATAATAAACAAAATTACTTGTACTAAATCTCCTATATTTTTGAATTATCATATACAGAATATTTATAAAGGATTGTTTTATTAAAAAAAACCAAAGGAAAGTTTCTCATAAGATTAAGTTTTTTAGTTTAAAATATAAAAATCCTTAATAAAATTAAATTAAACACTACTTCATTATTATCATAATTAAAAAAAAAGCCTTATTTGCAAACATATTACACAAATGAGAAATTATCTACTTAACATTGCACAAATTTTCGACCACTAAAGCTAGCAAATACCAAAAGTTTAATTAGTCAAAAATATTTATTTCCCATTACATTTATTCATGTCATAATATAACAAGCAGTACACTTATTAGCAAATATTCCTATATATATAGAACGATTTCTTTTGCATCACTTATAAAAGTTTAATTATCAACTGCTCCAAAACTTTCTAGATAGCAATTAAATTATTCAAATCCAGGTGGGCCTATAAGTTTGCCATTTATACAAACTCTTTTTTCATAATCGAAATTTGGACTTATAGTGAGGGGATAATTACAGAATTAATTATAAATAAATAATTCATATTAAAACATATAAATTTTTGTTTTTCTTATAATATTTTTATTTATTTATTTTTGTAATAATATATACTAAGATAATAAATTTAATTTATTAATTATTATTATATCTTATATTTAAATACAACTTATATTTTTAAAAAAATAATTAATCAAGAAAATGAATTAAATAATATAAAAAAGAAAAAAGTGAATTAGCTAATCAATATTTTCGTATAATAGAAGAAATAACTAAAAATTAGTAATCAAAATTATTTTAAAAACTTATAGACACAGAAATATTTTCAGATTATATAAAATAGTCTAAAATTCAATGGATTTATAAAAATCATATGAGAATGTAAATTAAAAAAAGTAAAAATAATAAAGATAACATTGGTATATTTATAAAATAATGTATATAAATATTAAAAATTGATTTTATTTGAAAAAGATTTATGTTTAATTTGGAAAAACTTTAGATAGTATAATGATGAAAATAGTGAAATATATTAAATATCATTAAAATTAGAAAAATTTGCAATTAAAAAATTAAAGAGCATTTAATATATTACAAAAAAGAATATAAAATAATGAAGAAAATCAAAAAAAAGTGAATAAAATAATTTTATTAATTATAAAAAATTCGAATAACAGTTAATCTTTCTTTTTAAAATACAAATTAAAACTTAAATTCCTTTAATTATTAAAAAAAAAAATTATTTCTGATTAAGAAAAATAATTTTTATCCTAAAATTTTGTTTCATTTAAATAAGAAGAACTTATTGAATTGATAAAAATTGTATAAGAATATGAACCATAGTTAATTTTTAAACATAAAAAAATAGATTCTAAGTAGAGTTAAATTAATTGTCAAAAAAAAACTATTAGTAAAATTAAAGAATTCTTTTAATTAAATAATACATGAATTATTGTGTAAATATTTATATAAATTAATTTATATAAAATAATTATATAATTGAATGATTAAATATTTTCTTTTTTATTTTGATTGTTTATTAAAAATAAAAATATAATTTATATTTAAAAAAAAATATTTAGAATCTTAATTTTATTTTATAAAAGAAATTAAATATTTTTATAAAATTATGTTTATTTTCTTAATATAATAAATTAAACATTTAGGATATAAAATTTCAATTTAAAAAGTAATTTTATATCAGAATTAAAGTATCTAGGTTTAAAAATATGTATTAATTATTTATTATTTATAAAATTAAAGGGTTCATAATCATTATTTATTAAATATTTTTGATTTTAAAAATTTCATAGTTTATCAATTAACTTTTTTTATTTTATATTAATATAAACTAAATATAAATTAATAAATTTAAATATTTAAATAAAACCAAAAAGTTGAATTTCTTTTATTTATTTTAATAAAATAAAATATTAAAAGTTTAAAATTAAATAAATAATTCATATAAATATATAATTTTAAATAAATAATTAAAATTAATGAATTTAATGCTTTATAAATATTTAAATAAAAAATAAAAATGTTGTAAAGTATTAATAAGTATATTTATTATGCATATTTTATATATAAAAAAGACTATTTTTTTCTTTAAATTTTTAGATTACATTTTTTAAATTATATGACTTTAATTAATCATAAAAAAGCATTAATAACATAATTTTTTTATTATTAATAAAAATATTATAATATTTATAAATAAAAATTATGTAATTATTATTATCAAATATTTTTTTTAATGAAAATAAAAATTATTTTGTTTTTGGTTTTTGACTTTATAATTTAAATTAATTTTCTTTAATTTTTTATTTTGTTCATATTAACACATTAATAATTAGTATAAAGCTACACAAGTATTTGCTTTTTTTTAAATATTTCATTTGTACTTTAAAATTTCTAAATTTTTAATATTTAATTATTCAAAGCCTTAATATTTCTTAATCAATTCGATATAATTATTTATTTTACATTAAGATATTTAAAATTTACAAACAAATAGCAAATCTTTAATTATTATTCTATTATGAATTATCGCCTTAAGCCTAAAGTAAAAATTTAGTAGGTGGGATTATATATATTATAATTAAAAACCCTTTTTTTCACATGCAAATACACGGTGCTTAATTTGGAAAAAAATCCTTACTTCTCATTATATTTATCAACAAGCTAGTTTGCTTAAAAAATAATGTGCTCTCATTAGCTGATCTAGAATAATTTCTTTTACATGGTTCGCATTTTCCAGCACTTCTGTATAGTCTTAAAAGATATATCTGAATTAAATTATTATATGGGTTAAAGAATTTACCTGAAATACATAAACTCACTACAAAAGTATCATTATCAACTGCCCCTAAGCATTCTATATAGCGATCAACTCCTCCAAATCCAGCTGGGTAAATACATTGACATCAATACTCTTTTTTCTGAACAGAAATTTAGATATTAGAGGGGCATAATTACAGAATCTTTTATAATTTTAAAGAAATAATGCCATTTAACCTTTAGCTTTTTGAACACTTTGACGGCATATTATTTTATATTGATTTTCCTTTTCGACATAAAACTTATAATTTTATCTTAGCTAAATAAAAAAAAATTTGAATAATTAGGAACAAACTAAAATACTATAGAAGACGCAAACTTAGCTCAAGAACTTTTAACCAAAAGAATTTATCTAAGCCCAAAACATCTTCTAGAAGCCTAAAAAAGGTTAAATTTATGTATATTATACAATTTAACTTAACAAAATACATATAATCCTCGGCCGTGAAATTCTTTTAGCCGCAACAATTGAAATGAAACAAAGATCAAAATAAATATAAAAGATGCCCCAAAAATATTTATTTTAATAATCGCCGCTTGTTTTTTATCGTAGGAAAGTAGAATATCAATAATAAAAAAGGCTTTATTAATTAATAATGATAAAACTAACCATACAGAGTTTAAAATTTTTAGGTATAAAGTAATAAAAAAATATAAAAAAGAATATAAATAAAAAATTTATATAAGTAAATAAATATTTGTTATCTAATTATTATCTTTAAAAAATTAATAAAAATATAAAGTATAATTATAATATATCAAAATTTAATATTTAAATAATTATTATTAAAAAATTTTAAATTATTAATGAAATAATATTAAATTTTTTTTAACGTAAATTTAATTTTTTTTTATTATAAATAATTTATTAATTTTGGATTATTATTTAAAAAGATTCAAAATATAACGATTTCTTATTTTTTTATAAAAATAATAATTATAATAATTAATATAATTAAAAATATTTTTTTTTAATTTAAATAAAAAATAGATATTATAATTTATATATATGAAAATATAATTATATAAAATTATAATATTAATAATATAAATCAAGAATAGCAAATATTAAAAGAATCTATTGTTTAATTGCTTAGCTTTTTAATCATTAATGATTAGCTTAAACTTTATGTAAAAATCTAGAATTGAGATTTGTTAAGCATTATTTTTCCGATTCATTATAATTATATCCCTCTCTACATTAGTTGCATCTATTTTTATCACATGTTACACAATTATTGAATTTACTACTGCAACTTAGACATTGTTTATTTTCATGATCTTCCTAATCTTCATAGTCATCATAATAACCATCCCAGCATTCTTTACATTTTCCAGAATCACTACATAAATAACATCCATCAAAGCAAAAAGTTGCTAAATTTTATTTGA